CTCCGCGCGGGTGGCAGCTCCGCGGGGACACGGGTGGGCGGCCGGCGCCCAGCTGGCCCTGGTGGCCACCACCGCTGCGGCCTTGTTGGGCATGTGCCCGGCCGCAGCTGGATGGTGCTGGATGAAGCTGGATGAAGGATGTGTTGGGCAGAGACCTCCTCTCAAAGACTCTCTCTGCTTTGGAGACCATGAGGCATTTTCCCTTCTCCATCACTATCTTCCCATCTGCTTTATTTGCTCTGTGATATTGCTTTGCCCTTTCTTCAGCTCAGCGTTGCAACTTTCTGTTTTTCCTTCTCCTTTCCTAAGTTTCTCCCCTTTTCCTCCTCCATTTCCAGTTCAACTCTCCCATTCCTCCCCTCTCTGCTGGTTGTCCAGCCCTTCCCGAGCTTCCCGAGGGCCTTTCTGCCCTCTGCCTGCACTCTGCCCAACAGACAGTGAGGGACTGTGTGACATTGGGTTCCCACCACCTCCTGCACATCTTGCTCCCCATTTGGGCTCACATGGGTTTCCCTCCACCCAACGCTGTCCCTTGGCAATGAGGAACACGAGTGTCACTCCAAAAGCACTCGTCTATCCCGCGCTGGTCCCGGCCGCTCCATCGGGATCGCGGGATGCGGGATCAGCGCGTGGGAAAGGCCTGATGCCCCGTGGAGGGGGCACCATCGCAGGCCCCTCTGGGGGCTGGGGCTCATTCCCAGCCATCCGGAGGCCAAGGACACCGGGCACCAAGAGGTGACCTCAGCCTGTGTTTTGGGGTTTGTTCTCTTTAGGCCTCCCTGGCTGGAAACTTGCATCACCGATGACGAGACGTGGAACTTTGACACATTTTAATGGGGAAGTGCAGACACGTTTGCCCACCCAGCCTGCACTTGAGCACTTTTCTTTCCGGTTTGTGGCAAATATAGAAACTGCAGATTTGAAATGACACGAACAAAATAAGCACTAATTGCAACTGAAGCTTTCTGTGGGCATCTATTTTGGGGTCAATGGGTAAAGCTCAAGGAACATCTCCATTACCACAAGTGTCCTGGGTTACAACTCAGCCCATCAGTTCATTTTCATGGTAACTCATTTTCACGGAGCTGCACCAAGGATTTCTTTGCAATTTGATGTTAAAATAACAGTGCCACTGATGTCCTGGCTAAATGTAGCCTAGAGGCTGGAGTGGAAATAGCGTTTGTTTCTACCACTTTGCAAGGAACTCTTATATCGGAGCCCTTATATCAAGTCGAGGCGCGCTGGTGCCAGATCTTGTAGGTACATTTGGGGATAACATCTAGTTGTCGTCTGTGCCCTTCTGTGCTGTGTCTGCTTCTAGCTCAACATAATCAATGGTCCTTTCACTGTGTCTGCTGATGGGCTAATGAAGAAGTGGTTTTGGTTGTTTTTTTTTTGCCGTTTTTGTTGTGCTAAGCTGGGCATTTATGAAATGCAGCTGTCACGTGGATGGATCAGCAGAGGCTGACCTGTCTGGCCAAGACCTGTCCTCCAGGGTGCAACTGGAGTGTGTTGGGGAGCACCAGGAACCCGAAGCTCCAGTTTTGCAAGGATCTGTCCTACTGGAATGGGTCCCAGCTGCTTCAGGTCTGTTTTTTTCCCCAGAATTTGTGGGTATAATGCGCAGTTTGACCCCAGTCCTGGCTCGACTCAGCAGAGAGGCCCAGGAGAGCAGGGCGCATGTGCAAGAAAAACCCAGGATTTGGTTAATGTCATCAGCAGAGGGCAGTGCGGGACACTTTATTGCAGGGTTATTTGTTCCTCCCCAAGAAACTTTCTTTTCCTCTTGTCTGCGTAATATTGTGTGATCTTGGGTATTATTTATTTATTTATTAAGTAGTAATTCTGCAGCAATCAGTCTGATGACTCTAACTCAAGAACTGTTTAAGAAAAAAAATGGCAACTCAGTAAATTCAAAATGGAAAAGGCTCAAGGTTTTTTGATTCAATTTGCATAGGTTATTTTGAAAATTTACTTTTCCTTTTTTATTAATTTATGCAGCAATTCTACTTAAATTACAGCATTGTTACCTGCATTCATTCATTTCCTTGGAGAAGAAAGCCTCTCTTTCCTGCAATGCCCAAGAAAACGTCTGGCCTGGGAGACATCTCTGGTATTTCTTTATTTATCTTCTTCACTGCTGCCTGATTTCATTTTGTTACACATACATACATACATACATATTTATAAATATATCCCAAAATTGAGTTGCAGACCCGAAGGCTGCTGGCTGTGCACAGAGTGGGGCATCCGGCTGCTCCGCAGGCTGGAGGCTGGGCATGGAGTTGGGCTTATTCACCCCAATTTCCCATCTTCAGGAATCAAAACCTCACTTCCCACAGGGCATGTCCACGAGAGAGGGTGATCGCAACATAAAGAAATCCTAAACATCTCTGAATTCATCCCTCCCTGCCCTCCCTTTCCCACCCAGCTTTCCAGGGCTTCCTAGTTTTCTCTCTTCAAACAGCCAGTGCATTTCTGCCTTTCCCCTCCTTCCCTGCACAGGTCCCAAGCAAGGAGGGAAAACACCTCCCTTGGTCTTTCGGAGTTTTTTTTTCCCCCTTTCTTTTCTGGGGGAGATTTCTGCTGGCTGGGACAGGGCAAGGGGAGTGCGTTGGGTTAGGGTCAGCCTGTCCCATTTGTTCACAAAGTGCCTTGCTGGCAGCAGCCCTAGGGACTCGCTCCCAGTCCGCTGTCTGCATGTGCTTGTGTTGTTATTTAAGGGTTTTTTGCACTGCAGCCCTTGAGCCTTGGTCTATGTCGCTGGTCCGAGGGCTTCCTGAGCTGTTCCAGGCTCCATCAGGACATGAATTTGGGGTCCCTGTGGGGAGATGCTGCAGGGTGAGCCTAAAAGTTAAATACTGCTGCTCACGAAATGCACTGTAGAAATAGGGGGATTTGGTGCAAATCGGTGCTGGGCTCACGCGGCCTGTCCCGGGAGCAGTGGCCACGCTCGGCCCAAGCAGGGGTGACTTTGGCACCAGCAGGTGCTTCCTGGGATGACACAGGTTATTGCTGAGCCACCGTGCTCAAGATAATGCCTGCAATGCCAAAACACATATCAGAGTCATTTTATTTCCTCCCAAATCTGAAGCCTTAAGGGTGTGCGCAGCTCCGGCGGCCTGGAAGCGCTTTTGCTCCTTAGCACAACGCGGAGGCTGGAGGAGCATCGGGATCTGCGCACGGAGGCTGTAGCAGGACACCAGGGAGCACCCAATTTGCAAGGACAACACAGCGTGGAAGGACATCCTGCTGCCACCTCGTCCTCCCTGTGTCCCATTAAAGTCCTTGCACGTGTCCCTGGGGCAGCGCCACCTGCTCACAAAGTGTCCCTGGGCTGAGAAGGGTTTTCAAGAACAACAAACAGAGACACCCACTTTTTTTCCTGCTTCAAAAATATTCCCCTTTCCTGCAGGAGTCCATTAATTCTAGGGAACACAAGGGGGAATCCAAGTCGTGCTCAGGGACCTAATGCATCGTCATTCAATCACCTGCATGGGGGGTGACATTGGTATCTCAAGAGATGGACTCTAGCAACAGCTCGTCTGGGGGCATTGGAGGCATCTCCCTGCTGTTTATTCGACGTAAGAACTTTGGGAGGGACCAGAATCCGAAGCGTGGAAATCTCCACGTTTTTCTGCGGATCCGGCCGCCGGGGCTGCCCAGGCGGGAGCGCAGGGCAGCGCAGCGGAGCCGCAGCAGCTCGTCCTGGAACTCGGACGTGGAGAAGTAGTAGAGGACGGGGTCGAGGCAGCAGTTGAGGCTGGCGAGGCAGAGGGAGACGGGGTGGAAGCGGAGCGCGCTGCGGTGCACGGCGCAGTCCTTGATGATGTTCTCGATGACCATCATAAAGAAGGGGAAGTTGATGTGGTAGGGGGTGAAGCACACGAAGAAGACGGCGGCGCACATGAGCAGCATCCGCCAGGCCCGCTGCTTCTCGCCGCCGCTCTGCAGCGGGGTGCACCCGTCCTGCAAGGAGCGCCGCATCCTCCACGTGCAGCACGCGATGATGGCCAAGGGCAGCACGAAGCCGAAGAGCTCCGCCACCGTCACCAGCGCGATGGAGGCGCCCGGCGCCAGCTGCTTCACGCCCAGGTCCGAGAAGCAGGTGTTGGTGGCGTTGGACAGGGCCGGTGTCCGCACGATGGGCAGCGGCAAGCACGCGGCGCCGACGAAGAGCCAAACGGCGGCGCTGATGGCCACGTCGTAGCGGCGCTTCCAGCCCTTGGCCCTGAACGGGTGGAGGAGGAAGAGGTACCGCTGGATGCTGATGCAGGTGAGGAAGCAGATGCTGGCGTACATGTTGAGGTACTTCAGGTAGAAGCACAGCTGGCAGAGGAACCTCCCAAAAGGCCACGTGTGGTTGATATAATAGTATATTCGCAGTGGCAGGGAGAGCACGTGGGCCAGGTCGGCCATGGCCAGGTTGATCATGAAGATCACGGCTTTGCTCTTCTTGCTGATGAAGCGGCACAGGACCCAGAGGGCAGCGCTGTTTGCCAGCAGCCCAGGCACAAAGATGATGGTGTACGTGGTGGCGTACAGCGTGGACTGGAAGGACATCTGCGGGTGGCTGCAGTTCCCTGTGGACACATTGCTCTCCATCTCGACTCACTCTCTTTGCTCAGGAGACAACCAAGATGAATGGAGGGTGTCTGTAGGGAGAAAAAACAGATACTGTAACACCAAAAATGTTTTTTTCCCACATAGAATAAATGAATACAAGTCTTAGGCAAGAGGGCTCATAGCATCCATGCGTTAGGTTCCAGTGTTCTCCTGGAAGGGTCTGGCTGCCCCAGGGGATGTTTCTGTGCAGCAGATGGTCCAGGTGGCCACACTTGGACCTCAGCATCTGACACCACTGGAATGGAGGAGCCAGTGCCTGGCTGCACTGCCCCGTTCCCTGGTATCTCTTAGACTCATGCATGGTCCATGGGAGCTAGGCAGTATTTATATTTTTTCCTGTGCCACGTGCTCTAGGTGTCCCTGCGTATGCAGGGGGGTTGGACTAGATGACCTCTAGAGGTCCCTTCCAACCCTAAGCATTCTATGATTCTATGATTCTATATGCACATAAACATATACAGCAGAAAAGAGATAGTTGGGAACAGCTCAGACTGTCAGGTTTGGGGCGCTGTGAACCGGAGCACATCCCGGCCAAGTCTAACGGAGCCAGAAGCACAGCGGGTGCTCGGTGCACGCAGTAGGGACGGTGATGGAGAGGTGCAGACAGGTCTATGAGCGCTCTGGCTCCAGCCCAAAGAGCGGATTTAAGACTAATATCTCCCGCCCGCACGCAGCCGCTCAGTCCGTGCCGCTAACTCGATTGCTGGGCTCGTGGTGCATTGCGCGGGCAGCCTGTTGTGGCAACAGGAATGTCCTCCAGCCGCAGCCCAGGACGCAGAGGAAGATAAATACACGTGCCTGTTAGTTAAAGCAGAAATTCATTTTCATCCATTTACCCATTTCACCTCCTGTCATTGGCGCTGAAGGTACCCATGAGTCATGCAGAGTTCAGAGGTGCTTGCTCAGGTCTGCAAAACGTAGCGAAGTTCATGAATTTCCCATTGAATTTCTATGAATTTCCACATACGCATATATATATGTATACATATATAAAAACATATATATATGCAGAACCACCATCCAGGAGCCAGAGAGGGCCTCAGAAAAGTGGTGCTGAAACCCATCTTGTTCCCAGCCTGTCCTACTGGTCCAAGCTCTTCCCTTTTTGGCTTTACTGAGCTGCCAGCATTGAGGGCAGCTCCAGCATGAGCGGTGCAAGACGGGGAAGTGCTTCGCATTCGTGTTTGCATTTTTTTTTGAGTCAAATCCTTGCCAAAATGGGTTTTCTTACTTATATCTCCACTTTCAGGATGCAAAAATGGAAGAGTGAAGTGAAACCCTGTGCTGCCCGGCTGCTGCACAGACCTGCCCTTGAGTCAGTGACTGCTGGCCATAGGATTTTGCCTTCCCTGCCTAAGCAGAGCTGCCAGGCTGGCAGGGCTGGGATGCCTGACTCGAGGGCACAAGAAACCTCATTTCCCAGGAAATAAGCCCTGGCCTGGTCCATGCTCTTGGCACTGAGGTTTTTTTGTGCCTGGCAGCAAGTTGTGCAGCTTCACCTTCGATTTTCTGCAGGAAAAGGGGAGACTGTCATTGGGGAGCTCTTCATATGGGGAGATCTTCATCCCTCCCTGCATCCCTCCCGAGGCTGCTGGACCTCAGCGTGGCCCGGGCAATCACTGCGCCCATTTCCCCTGTGTTTGCTCTTTGTGCCAAGTGACACTTTCAGTTTGGGCCAGCTCAGCAGGGTGACACTTCCCGCAAGAGCAGGCTCGTATTTAGCACCACGCGCCTTGGACTCCCCCTGCCCCTGCTCTCCCCATCCCCTGAGCCCCGTCCCTGCTCGTCCTCCATGTGTGGCCACCGGCGATGCTGGGGCTGAGGGGGGCCCTTCCCCATCCCAACGCACTTTCACTTCAGTGACTTTCTGAAACTGGAAGAAAACACTCCTTTCGGTTCCTTGCTCCTTGTGCCATTGCTTTTTTTTCTCTTTTACTTTTCTTTTTTTTTTTTTTTTGTCGCTGCTCAAGCAGATGAATCTGATTTCGAGAAAGATGCCCCTGCAAGGAGGGAGGGCAGCGAGGTTTGGCCATGGGGAGAATCGAGCCCCACTTGCACATGTGGCCCCGCAGGTTTCAGTCGCCGGCTGCCTTGGGCAGGGTTTTCTTTTCCTGCAGTTTCTGTGTGTGCCAGCGTGCGCTGGGAATCGCCTGGGTTTTCTGAATCACTGCGTGCTCCACCCAGCCCCGCTGCGCAGCCGGGTTGCGTTTGCTGCGCCCGGGTTTAGGCGCACCCCAGCCCTCATCTTTTCCATGGGGTCCTCCCCGTGGCACCACGGATGAGCCTCGGCTTTGGGGCGCCCCATGGCAGCACCCGCTGCCTCCCATCTGCTCCCGGCCAAGCATGGGGAAAGGAAGAGCCATCTAGTAAAAATAATAATAAAAAACCCCTGCTTTTGGCTGGAAATAAGTTTTTCTAAAGCTTCTCATTTCCAGCAGTGGAGGTTTTCCTTTTGCTTTAAGCTGTAATTTCATTTGCTTTTTTAGTCCAGCCGGCAGTAATGGAAAACATATAAGTTGAATAGATCAGCTTCCGTTGATCAAAACGGTTTGGGAATATTTTCCATAAATCAGGCTTTTGAGCACATTTTCCCACCTCTCGCTGCATGCACAAGCTCCCCATCCCTCCAGAATGAAAAGAAATGGGAACAGATTGTCGTTCTCCAGCGCTGCTGAGGATGTTGCAGCAGTGTCCGGCCGGTAAATCCTCTTGGAAAAACACGCGTGAACACATTGCTTGGACCTGAGAGAGCTCCTGGAGAAAAGGGGAGAGAAAGGCAGCTTACCTCCCTGCGCGTGCCGCTCGCCGGGGGGATGATGTCCATACTAGTGCGCGGCAGGAGCAGCCGGGCTGCTTTTATTTGCCCCAGCTTTGCTCCAAAACCTCAGCCCCGCGGATCCCTCTCCAAACTCCAGCATGTTGAGGGGAATCTCGGAGTGCCGAAATCCAGCCGGCATCTGCAGCCCGATGCAGCAGCGTCTGCAGAACAGGAAATCCTGTATTTTGCTTCTCTTTGCCACACGAATGTGTACAGCTAATGACGTTAAACAACTGGAAAGACGCTGACATCATTTGAGTAACTGCAGTGTGATTTAGGACTTGGACACTGATTTCTTTCTCTCTTTGAATAGAAACATGTGCGATTTCTGCCCAGTTCCCTCGGTCAGGCTGGTTTTGCTTTTATGTGCAATCACTTGTCTGCTAAAATAACTACAAAGTCAAAAAAAAAAATCGGGAAATACTCACTAAAGCAAAGCTACAAGGTTGAACGGTAGAAGCTCACTGGAAGGCAGAAATTTTCCTCCCTTTCCTCCCTTTGTTGGGGTTTTTTTTAGCCTTGAGACTATAAAGGCTATAGGCTACAGATTTTAAGGGTTTGGGCTTGATTCCTGAAATAACATGGTGGGTTAAGGTGGAGAGTTTCCCAAAACACTTTCTGAAAAAGCTTCCATCACCTCCAGCTTCATCCATATCTGTCTTCTTTCTGCCTCCATTAACTCCTTCCCTTTGGAGATTTATAAAAATGTATTTTATATATATATATATACACATATGTGGTGTATTTGTATATCTATGTTTGTGTGTGTGTGTTTTTAATATTTATATGCATGTGTGAGGGATTTTTAATTCTTCTAGTGCCTGAGAAGACCTGGAAAAGAAGACTCCTCTTCCAGCCTGTTGTGATCAGTAGGTGCATAGAGTGTCTCACTGTTTGCAACATGGCTGCTGCCACCCTTCCCTTTCTTACTGCATTTAGTATATAAAGAAAACTACTCTTTCTAGATTTTTTTAAAAAAATAGTTATTTGGCCCCTGAAAAGGCGCACAAACATGGTGAAGAGCAGAAACAGAGAGGAAGCTCTTGGAGCACCTGTTGGAGGGTCTGGGTGGGAGCCTGTTTTCTAGATTTTTTTTTTAAAATTAGTTATTTGGCCCCTGAAAAGGCGCATAAACATGGTGAGGAGCAGAAACAGAGAAGAAGCTCTTGGAGCGCCTGTTGGAGGGTCTGGGTGGGAGCCTGACCCTGCTCGTGGTTCCCCTGCGCCGTCGAGCTCCGCTCCGCGACTCGGTGTCCCTGTGCAGGCAGAGCAGGAGGGTGGCAGATCCCTGGCACTGCGCGTGTTTTCTGCCAGTTCCGCACGGAAAATGCACTCAGGGAGGGCCAAGCAGGTCAAGTAGCAGCACTTAGAGCTGTATCTTGGGTTTTGCACGGCTGCACGCTGCGCTTCGAAAGAAGCTTGCAAAGAGGAGCCTGCAGAGCTCTGTCCTTGTCCTGCCCGAGAGGAGCCCTGGCCTGGCCTGTTCGTTTGCTGCCTCCGGAGCTCTCCTCCCTGCGCAGCGTTTTCGGGAGCCGATGCGGATCCCTGGCAGCAGGAGCGATGCTGGGGGCTCCTGGACCTGTACAATAGGGTCCATCCCTCTCTCCACACTCCAGTGTCTTCTCCCAAGTGAAGTGGCATCTTATCAGGATATCCGGGCTGGCCTTCCTCCTCCTGTCCTCCTCCTGCGCCCCAGGAACGCGTCCAGCATCCTCTGCAGCCTGCGCTGCTCCTATTTATAGACAGCAACATGCCCAGCTGGAGGGCTGGATCACTGCCTGGGCTCACGGTCGTTCCGGGCTCTTCCTCTGCTCATCTTCCTCACCACTGCGCAGTGCAGGAGGTGGTGGCACTACTAGACCTGAGCACTAAGCCTGTCCCTTCACGATAGACTAAACAACTTCTTGGTGCTTCTTAAAAATTCAGCTATGTTTTTACTTAGCTCTTCTGGCTCCTTACTAATGCCAAACCTGCAAATTTCATACTATTTTACACTTTTAACTTTTCAATTTTACATTTTTAAAGGCAGAAGATAAAAAGGGTTTTTAAAATAACCATGGAGCTTTATCTAAGGCCTTTGATTCTTTGCCTTGATACTGGTATCCTGTGGGCAGGAGGCCAAGCGCGTGTTAAGTGTAAGGGCATCTCTTTAACCCCGCTGCATCTGGTCCTATCGGACAGGATGCACCTGAAGGATGTAAGAAAAAACAAGCCTGGGCTTTTGAGAAGGAAGAGGTCTTATCCGCAAAGAGCAGCTCACCCTCGTGCAGAGAGCTGGGGCGCTCCAAGCTGAGCATCCAGCATTTCCTCCAGCATCGCTCCATGATTCCCTGCACAGAGAACTGGAAATTTCGTATAGGGATAGAAAATAGAGCTGAGGTGCTCACAAATTCCTGCCTCTGAGGCCTAGGGAGAGGCTATACATCCTGGGAGCTGTGCCCTGGTTCGGCTTTTTTCCGAATGCTTTTGGGCCTGTTTCCATAGGCTTGGGCTGGGAGAGGAATTACCTGGGGCGTAATATGGGTTAAGATGGGGTGACGTGTTCTTTAGCAGGCAGAGACGTTGCTCCTGGACACAACGGAGACTCTTCTTGCCAGCACAATTGCCAGGGAAGGGAATACACCATGCACTGTTTTGTTTTACCCCCATTTCCTACCGTAATCTGGTTTCATGCAGGCCTAAGGGAGCTCAAAGGGCAAAAGAGGCAGGAAGACCAGGGCTCCTCCAGGAGGGGGGGAGGCTGGGGGGACCTGGGAATGCTCTTGTGGGGACAGGGATGTCACCCTTATGGAGCTACCGGATGTGTTTGTATGGATGTTGACTCATTTTTCCCAGGAATCGGGGTAAATAAGTACAAAATGTCTTTAGAGCAAGTGGGAAAGAGAGAGTGTGTTGCTCGCTATCTGACTGCTTGGGACTTAAGCCTGGGGGCCTTAGGTCCAAAAACATGACTAAATCCAGTTTAAGTGTTGTACTTAAAAAAAAAAAAAAACAGAAAAAGAACATCTTATTCAACTAGGGTGAAAACTTTCCTGTACCTGGTAAGCAATCTGCTGAAGGGCAACAAAAACTGGTGGTGGTCAATGCACTGGATCATCTGAAGGCAACTCTGTGCTCTGCGTGATGGAGAAACAGCTCTCACTCAGCTCTGTGGGTGCAAGTGATAACTATGAAATTGGGCTTACATTTGCCAAAACGCGTTTATTTTTTAAGCATCATTTTTTGGAAAGAACAACAACAGAACAAGCTACACAGGTACCACAGAAGTGTCTTCAACTTGTTTTCACTGTATAAACGCAGGATTGTTGAGAAGGAAATTACAGTAAGGAGTTCTCAGGTATGTGCTAGCTGATCAAGGTCTATAAAAATCCTCAAAACAACCACTGAAACTGGAGTCTCCTTGACAGATGATGTTGTAAAGGGTCTAACTAACTCGTGAGGAAGTTGCCAAGTTGGCAGGAATCACATTACACATGCTTAGCTATCCCTGAGCATCATCCTCTGCTCCCATTTTAAAGGGATTATCTGCAAAGTGTGAACATGTGAATGTACAACATTGGCATAATAAACTACCCAGTTAAACCAGTGGAAATATCTCCATTGGCTTCAGTGGAGATGGACTGTTCACTCGGCAGCTTTCTCTTTAGAAAATTAGAGCAACTTGCAAAATGCACTGTTTTTAAACGCTGTTTTCTTCAGATAAGCACATTTCAGTCCTGCAATATAAGATTAAATTCATCGTGCCATAGACCTTAATCATCCTTTTACAAATGGGAGAACTACGGTAGCTTATTCTATTGGAAGGGGATGTATGTCCTCAGCATCTTTCAGAGGAGCTTGGGCATCGTGGTCCTTCAAACCTGCCTGTTTGCCTTTCCCCACTGCACCGTGTGTAAAACTAACACACAGAAAATCTCTGGTTGAGAGGGAAACAGAGGGAAATTAGGTAGGCAGATTGTAATTCTACTAAGCAAGTGTTTCTGAAATTTCTCATATTTTATAGCAATGTATGAAATGCTGCCACTGATGCGGCCTGAGAGTTGCTCCGAATGCTTTGGAAAAGCTCCCGGTTTTCCAGAGGGAGTAAATCACTGCCACAACTATCAGAAACCACTGAAGTGACCCAAAGTGGGGAAATGTGGCCTAAAAACTGACTTATATAAAGCACGGCAGGGGAAAATGGAGTTGCACCTTGTGCCTGCTTTTCATGTGCCCATAGTTAATGGAGTCATAAAAATGTAAACATGAAGATCATGAGAGTGGCCATGGGAGCAAGCTCAGGAGGAGATGAGAAGAGGGAAACACCATGCATGGGAATGCAGAACAGTCACTGAACATTTCAGGCTGTTCTCGTGGGCATTGTGTGTTTTCAGCAGAGAAGCCCCTTTGGTGGGTGTCAGTGCACGATGTCAGTGTGTGACTGCCCTGGCTTGGTCACGGAATCACTGAAGTTGGGGAAATAGAAGAAAAGCTGCTGGGTCGCTGCCACCGCCTCATTGTGGACACCTCGTTGCTTCCTCCATCACTTCCCTGGTCCGGTGACGTCCCGTGTGGGCTCCACACCAGCCGGGTCCCGCGTCAGCCACAAACACGCACTGCTCCTAAATGTGTTTCCATTCCGTAAATCAAAAGATTTCCACTGCCACAAAATCCCCTGATAAAACAAACGTGCAGGATCTTCCATAGCGGTTGGTAGATGAACATCACAGACAGTCTTGGATGGCAGGTGAAATGCTTTGCTGCTCTTTAGGCCTTCTTTTCATTCCTTAATTGAGGAGGCACTTTCTTTGCTCATGAGCCGGCTCCTGATGACCATGCTGCTGTGTCTGGATATCTGATCCTGAAACTCTGAATTCATAAAGAAATACAGGATTGGATCCAGACAGCAGTCCAGGCTTGCGAGACACAAGCAAAAGGGCTGAGTGTAAAGAGTGATGCTACGTAAGAAACAGTCCGAAATAACATTTTCTTTCACCATCATGTAGAAAAAGAAGTTGATGTGGTACGGTGCAAAGCACACGAAGAACACAGTGGCGCACATGGAAACCATCCGTAGGGCTTTCTGCCTCTCACCGCTGCTTTCGGATGGTATCTGGAAGCCCCGAAGGGAGACTTTGGTCTTCCAAGTGCAGAATAAGATGATGACGACAGGGCCAACAAAGCCAAAGAGCTCCGCCGTCACCGTCATCAGCACCGTGGCCACCTTGCTGTCGATCTGCCGGACTTCGAGGTCTGCAAAGCAGGTGTTGGTGCTGTTGGCCAGGCCGTAGTTGCGCATGATGGGGAAGGGAGAGCACGCGGCGCCGACGAGGAGCCAAACGGCGGCGCTGATGGCCGCGTCGTAGCGGCGCTTCCAGTCCTTGGCCTTGAAGGGCTGATAGAGGAAGAGGAACCGCTGGATGCTGATGCAGGTGAGGAAGCAGATGCTGGCGTACATGTTGAGATACTTCAGGTAGAAGCACAGCAAGCAGAGGAACCTCCCAAAAGGCCACGTGTGGTTGATATAATAGTATATTCGCAGTGGCAGGGAGAGCACGTGGGCCAGGTCGGCCATGGCCAGGTTGATCATGAAGATCACGGCTTTGCTCTTCTTGCTGATGAAGCGGCACAGGACCCAGAGGGCAGCGCTGTTTGAAAGCAGCCCAGGGATGAAGATGATGGTGTACGTGGTGGCGTACAGGCTGTACTTAAACGTTATCACGGGATCAGGACAAGTCCGGTTGCTCTGCATCATGACAGGGCCGCTGGACACGTTCGGCGCGGGGTAGAGCGGGTAGCTCATTTCTGCAGGGAATAAAATCAAAGGTTGTAAAGGAAAAGGCACTACGGGAATTAAATTTGCATTTGCATTTCTTATTTGATTATTTGGTAGGAAGTAGAAGTTTGGAGATGCCTCCCCTGTGAAGCACCTCGCTTTATTCTGCAAAGTGATCCTCTTTAAGGTATCCCACCACTGTGGGGGATTTTTCAGGCTACCTTAAATATATTTTAAAAAGATCCAGTTTCAGTTGCTGAAATAGAGACTGCCTCAAAGACATAAGCATGGGTGAAGCAGTCCCAAGCTGCTACACGAAGGCTGGTAGAAGCTGCTCATCCTTTGGCTGCTCAGGACCACCTACGGTTGGGTGCTTGGGTAAGAGGAGCCGGGATAGATGTTTCATGGTGTTTCAGGAATAAGCTAAAAGCAGGTGTGTTTGGCCCAGTTTCTGGGCATGAACAACCACGTGGGTGCCAGCCACCAAATCAGACCTGCCATGAAGTTGCCAGTTGGGTTCTGCATCGGTGTTTCAGGTCAACATTGAGTCAAGTGTTGGTGAACCTGACCAACCCCATACCCCTCGTGCGATGGGGATAGGACAGCAGGGAGCTGGCTCGAAGGCTGTAAATGCCCTGACTGATCCCAAAGAGCATTGAGCTGTGTTTAAATAACAGCCAGAGACCTAATCTGATCCCAAGCTTCCATTTCTCATCTCCCCAGCACCCTCCACCCTAACACTTATATTCATCGGATAATTTTATTGCGGGATATTTCCAGCTTCTGGTTCTCCATGGCTTCAGATGAGTAGAGATGGCCAAATGTCACAGATGGGGCTGGTGGGCCCTCTTTCTGCTCTTAGCAGTTTTAAGTGGAGCTTCTTTCCGAAGGGTAACCTAGGCAGGAAGACTTTGGCTTCACGGGGTACTTCCCCATAGGGCAGTTATTCTTGGTACAGTGATTCCCTCCTCCATCGAATTTAACAGTTAAAAAGGAAGAAAAAGAATGTCAGCGTCCTATTTCATGTTGCTCTGCAGACACTGATTCACTGCTTGTGACTCATTTTCTGCAAGTATCATTTACAAGGGGCATTTGCCAGAAAAAGTGTCTATGTAGGTAGGTATTAGTAATTTGTATCCTGTTACTAATGCTTTTTTTCACATTATAAAGGGAAAAAGGAAGAAGTTGAGAGTTCGCAAGTCGCAGAGAACTTTTTTAGCTGTTTTCTTCAGCTCGGTGATCGCGGCGGTGCTGGGAGCTGGCAGCTGGTGCAGGCTCTGCTCGGGCTGTCTGGGAGGGTTGTAGTTCAGGCCTCGGAAACACTTGTGTGTGGCGAGGCCCTGGCCCAGGACGGGGCCAAGCTCGGGCTGTCGCCCTGGCTGCCTCGCACACCCGGAGGAACCGCGCAGCGCGGGGCCCCTGCAAAAAAGAACCCTGCTGCCAGCTGGAGCGGTTTTCTGCTTAAACTTCTGTTTCCTTGAGTCTCATTTTTCTCCCAGCCTTCCAAAAACAAGCACTCTGATTTATCTCCTGCAGCACGGTTGTCTTTAGCAGATGGGCTGCATCAAGGAGTCAATGAAATGCCATGATCAAGAAAGCTCCAGTTTCGCACCCAGGCATTCCTCCTTTTCGGGAGGAATACGCCTCTTTGGCCCATCTGAAATGGCATCTTTCTTACTGCATCCCAGTTCTTGAGACCGCTTTGCATTTCTGCAATCCAAGAGCTTTGTGCTCCCTTTCCGTCCGTGTCTGCAGTTCTAGGTGAACACGTGGCCTATGTCCCCATCCTCAGTGACAGCTTTGATCACTGCAGCCTTCATGTGACATCCCTGCTTGGCAAGAAGCCATTGAGCCGTCGCTTTAGAAGTTATTTGCTGTTTGCATTTCCTTGGGTGTCAACATTATGACCCATGTTTCTCCAAAAGACATGAGTGCCAGGCAGACACTTAAATCGTGGAGGGTTGGGTGCATTTGTAAAATGTTCCATTTTGAGGAACAGCCTTACTGAAGAAGCAGCCAGTGGATCCGTGTTCCTAAGGAGACTGTGCCCAATGAGTCACCACAGTCCATTTGCTCAGGGGTGCCACGATAGACACGCTCAGCCTGCACTTACGTGTCCCATGCCAGCCATGGCGTGAGCAGGGGGTGTTCAGGGCAAAGTCACCTGCCCTGTAGGGCACATCTGCATGGACAGGTGGACGACAGCGCATGCACACGCACGGTGTGTCCCTTTGGGGACACAAAGTCGTGCTGCAGCAGGGACAGGTCCCCCCAGCTCCTCTCCCTCTGCTAATTGTCCACAAGGTGTCAGAGCTCATCAAGATTTTGGTTCTTGCCCCGCTTGAGACAGTCCCGCAGCAGGAGCAGCCTGAGGTGGCACCACCGCCTGCCCCCAACTTGGTCTTGCTGCTCCGGGCACCTGCAGCAAGGAGCATCCTGGGCACCTTCCTGACCTTCATCCTGCTCTTCTTGCTCAGGTTGGAGCCACATCCCTGCCTGGTGGCCCTCGCTGCCCACACGGACATGCAGACAGACACAGGGGCACGCGTTGAAGGTGACCCGAAATGAGCCCTTCTGCTTGCAGAGCTGTTCAGGGAGCCAAGGCGGCTGCTGTGCGACACACAGGGAAGGTCAAGGGCTGAAATGCTCCCTCTGACCCATCCAAGCTCTTGTGTTGCAGGGAGACAGCGAAAGGGTCTTCCGACCCAGCCTCCTAAAAAAATTCAGAATATGCCATTTCAAAAATACCTATTTTAAAAAAATCATAATAAAGAACACCAGTGGTATATAACTAGGGGTTTTATACATTTTAAAAAGAGTCTGTATTCCTGGCGTTGTTGCAATAAGGAAAGAATTAAGCATGCAAGCTATTACTTGTAGCTGGATGTTTGGAAACTATTATTTCGTGGCATTTCCAGGAAAAGGATGTTCACCGCGATGGGGCTGAGAAGCCTGGGAACGGCATTC